GCGACCTCCGGATCGCCGCTGTGCTCACGCCCTTCTCCAACGGCCAGCCCGGCTGGCGACCCTCGCCCTCCGCCGAGCTCGCCGTCCCGCCGTCGGCCGCGTCGGTCGAGCCTCCGGCCTCGCCCGAGCCCTCCTCCCCCTCCTCCTCCGCCCCGCCCTCCTCCTCCTCCTCCTGCGGCTCGTCCACGAACGCCGAGAGCTCCATGCTGTCGAGCCGGAGATCCTGCAGCTGCGCGGCGAGGCCCTCCTTCTCGGTGACTCGCTTGGACACGTTGTGTCCGAGAGCGGCCGACGCGGCGCTCCAATCGGCTGCCGTTGTCGGGTAAACGTGCCCGCGGTGCCGCGGTGCCGTGAGCCTTGTCGCGCACATCTCCGACCGGCGCTGCGTCCCGTGCAAATCGCGAGAGAGCGTCTTTTTCCTGCGGCCCACTGTGAAATCGGGACCTTAGCTCTCGTTTTAACACAGCCCGTAAGGTGCCCCGCCGGGGTGCCGGTTCGTTTTCCGCCCACGATCATGACCTCGGAGAACGCATTAGCCGCTACAGCGGAAGCTGTGATTTCGGCTACCTCGGCAATTTCGATGTAGCGGCTAATGCGTTTCGCGACATAATCGCTATTGCCGGCTACGAGCGAGCCGTTCAGCAGGATCAGACACGTGTGGTTGAATGCGCCCAGCACCGCCGGCACCTCCTCCTGGCCCGCGAGAAATGCCGCGGACTGCTCGGCCTTCTGCGCTTGGTACCCTTCGTACGCATAGTGCTCGGGGCTAAGCGCAAACTCGCCGTTCCGCGCCGAAGCGTCGTCACCGCCCATGCCCAGGTTCCACATCACCGCCTTGCCGACGCAGCTCCTCGTCAGAAGGCTCGAAGGACTGGCTACGTATGGCTGCAGCCCGATCGAGGACGTCGTCGTCGATCGACACCGACGCTCTCCATGCGGACGGATGCGGACGAAACGGGTGTATTACTACAACCCCAGCCATCCCCGTCAGCCACCCCTCGCCCGCCACCGACCCTGAAGCCGCACCCGTCGCTAACCCTCGCCGTGCCCCCCGAGTTCGAGCGATATGGTCCGATTACGTGCCGAGCGAGCAGGCGAGGGAGATCGGAGACGATCGGGGAGCACGATGCGTAATTGCCCTCGATGTTGACCCTCCCCCACCACAATTCTCCCCGGACGACGCCGCCCTCGCATCTGCTATGGTCTCTCTCTCTCGATACACAACACGCTCGCCGACTTGGCAACAAGGGTTGACTCCCTCGCGCTAGGCGACGAACCTGCCCCCGCCCCTCGGGGCGGGGGTCCCCGCCGCCCCCGAACCTGGTTTGTGGAGCTCCCACACCTTACCCAGAGAGCACGGCATTCGGGGCCATGATCTCGGTTCCGCCTTGGACTTTTTTTGTAGTGGAGAGAATTAAGGAATCTTTCTGCTCTGGCAGGCAGCTGCATCAATCCCCTTTACTTCAATCAGCTTTGTACACTCCAGTGCTAATACTGTCCGTATAGCTGTCTAGACGCTCCGATTTTGCTGTCTGGACGCTGTCTGGACACTGGAAGCTGTCTGGACGCTGTCTGGACGCTGTCTGGACGCTGTCTGGACGCTGTCTGGACGTGGAAGATCGTGTGAGGTGTGAATAGACCTGCTGCACACAGGCCGCCAGCCCGTCGCCACCCAGCCCGCCGCCCAACTCGCCGCCGCCGTCGCAACTCGCCGCCGCCGTCGCCGCCACCGCCCAGCCCGCCGCCGTTGCCGCCTCCCCCCTCGCCGCCGCCGCCGCCCTCGCCGCCGCCGCCCTTGCCGCCGCAGCCCTCGCCGCCGCAGCCCTCGCCGCCGCCTCCGAGCCCGCCTCCCTCGCCGCCTCCACCGTCGCCGCCCCCACCGAGCCAGCCTCCGCCGTCGCCCCCACCGAGCCCGCCGCCGTGCGGCGCAGCGTGGTACTCGCGCAAGAAGGCGCGTAGCATCTGAGCGAGGGGAGGGCAGTGTTGGATGTGGGGGTTGAGGAAGGCACGAAGGTCTGGCGGGCTCCGCGACCTCATCAGGCACCGCGCTGGCGTCGTAGCCCATGCGCATGAGCTGCGCGCGGACCAGCGCCTCGAAGGCGACGTCCGGATTGGAGTCCTCATGCCCTGTCATCTGTCAACCTGCAGTAGGCTCGTTCACCGCCGGGGCGGGCGCCTGGCGGCTCCGACCTCCCCCGCTGCTCGAGTGCACCCCAGCGCGTCTACCCGCAGTCAAGCTGGAGTGCTTTTCTTTTCTTTAGCCGTCCTCGTGTGTACCTACCTACTCGTGTGTGTGTGTATCATCTGTCCAGCGTCCACCCATACCGCGTTGGTGTCCAGTCCGAGCCTGGCTGTTCTTCACCTTTCTACCTACCTACCTACCTGTGTGTGTGTGTGTGTGCACACACACACACGCCGTCCTCGCGGGAGTCGCTTAGGCGGCTCCAGTGTACCTATGTTAGTGCCAGTGCGCGCCAGTCCCGTGCCCAGTGTTGTGCGAGGGAGTTTTATTGTAAAATTCTTTTCTTTTTGTGATGTAGTAGCGTCGGGCTGGGACCGGGTTCACGGTTCACCTCGTCCGTGAACTCCCCGCCGTGGCGGCGCGCGCGCCTCCGTGACGCAGCAGAGTACGAGGCGTTTAGCGGCAGCTGTACGTGGACGGGGCCTCAGGAGGGGCGGTTGGTTGACGAAACTCTCCTCTCTCCTTGGTTTGTTTTATTTAACGTGCAAGTTTGCACACTCAGTTTTGATGCGCACGCCGCCGGCAGCGCCGCGATCCGCTCCTCGTGGCTTCTGTTTCGGATTGCCTGGCTCAGCGGCCCGAGAGCCATGCGGCACTGTCTCGGGGCAGAGGCGCGGGGCTCGCAGGTTGGAGTCGCAGGAGGCGCAGAAGACGTGGCCCTCCCGGCACTGGTGCTGCGGCCCGTCCTGCACCTCAAGGCAGACGGGGAATGGTTGGGTAGTAGGGCTAGAGGGTCGCTCTACACTTAGCCTCTGCAGCGAGCAAGCGCTCAACTTAGCCCCCGCACGGAGCCGGGCTCGGACTTAGACGCTGTATGGTCGGGGGCCATGAACTTAGACGGCACAAGGCCAAATCCGGGTAAAACCCGGGTATACCTGCAAAAGTCCAGGTTTACCCGAAAAATACCTGGACGCGTCCCGACCAACGTATGCCGCGCACGACGCCATATCGCCTTGTCCCAGGGCCAGTGCGCTACTTGCGGCGCGCAACTCCTGCTCAAGTACGCGCACCGTACCATGTGCTGCCGCTATGCGTGCCTTAAGGCGGCTGCGGCGAAGCGGCGGGCGCGGCATGCCGATGGCAGTGCGGACGATGCGGTTGCGATGTGTTCTGCTTCAAGATCGTGGCGGTGCTTGGCATGCACTTGTGCGATCCCAATCAGCTCATCGCAACGCGAAGCAGCGCAACAAGCTGGCTGCTGCCAACAAGGCCCTATGCTAGATCTACCTCACGCGCGGATCGTTCAAAGAGGACCAGCATACACAGGCTTCTCTGACATGCGTTTGTTTGAGCTTGAGGCTATTTATGTGAGAAATGTTTGGCTAGAGATTGCGCTCAAGAAGAGCAACGAGAATCGGAAGAGGAGGATGCTGAGGCGGCGATTGCTGAGGCATGAGGAGGATCGATCCGGATTAGAAGGCGCCCGCCGCAGGCGAAGAAAATTTGGGGGCTAGCGCCGTATCGTTGATCACGGTGGGAGCCTCTTGGCCCCAGGCTGTGCCACGGCCGACTTAGCCGATGTAAGAGGCTCTCGCTGATCTTAGACCGCGTAAGCACCCCAGCGTGACTAGTCACACTTAGACCCGCTCAGCCTCGAGGCTCAGAACTTAGACTACTACCCAACCAGTAGACGGGGCACTCCAGGGCCATCGTTGATGGCTGACGATGTCAAGAAAAAGAATTTTACACTCTTGGAGGAAGAAAAAGAAACCGCGAGCCACAAAAAAGAAATCCTCGTAACTGTGGCACCTAACCTTATCCCCTTAACTCAAGCTACCTTTCCTTAAGTTCGGTGCCCTACGGTACAAGATCTGCCAGCGCTCGTGCTTCGAGCGAGAATGGATCAATCTACGACGCCGACGTGTGTGCTGTGCGACAGTTCCCGCGGCCGCACCATGCTCACCGCTACCCGGCAGCAGCCCCTCGGATCCCCAGGCGGATTCCAGGGCCGGTCCCACCCAGGGGGGGGGGGGGGGGGCGTGCGGTCGGCGCCCGCAAGATGAGGATACTCTCCGTACAGCATCCTCATCAAATCAGCCTCGTTCCCGAGATCGCAATCTCCTCCTTCTTCATTAGACTCTCCCACATTCCTCGACTCCTCTCTCTCTCCCGACCTCTCCTCCTCCTCTTTTCGACCTCCTCATCCCACATCCCATATCTCACGCAGCCTCATCTCTCCCTCCCGACGCGCCTTGCGGCCGGGGGGGGGCGCGGAAAAGATAAACCTCTTAGCGCCATCGCCATGGTGCTGCAAGCAGCGCCGGGCGACGACGGCGCTTTACCGCCTCCCGGTCCCCCTCGGCACAGAGAGAGAGAGAGAATTCTCTCTCTCTCCTCGGCACACCTCCGCTGCTTAATGTTTGACGACTCGAACCGCCGTGAAGCTTCCCGTGCGCGGGTTACCCCGCACACGGGTCAGCCTGCCAGCCACGTATCCACGCAAGCGTGGTCCGCGCGCATGGCATACAGGCGTTCGCCAGACCGGCTTCGTTTTTGTTTTTTTTGTGGACTGCCGGGCTAGAGGGCCCTGACCCCTAGTGTGTGAGTGAGTGTGACACACACACACCCACCCTGACCCCTAGCTAGGGGGGGTGCGAGATCGCAGGGAAAGGGCCTTAAAGTAAACACGGGTCTCCGAGGGTTAGTCCGCGCTCCAGGTTTCCCCTAGCAGGCGGAGCGCGCCCTCTACTCGGTGGGTGCATATTTTTGTTTTTTTGTGGACTGGCGGCGCCAGAGTTGCCCGACGCGAAGCCGCCGCATGTCTCCTTTCTTGTCCGGCTGCCTGGACACGCTGCACGAGGGCGGCGTCGGCCTCGACTCGGCCACCGCCCTGTGCTCAAAGCTGGCCGCGCTGAAGGCCTCGCCGCTCGAGTCGCTCGAGGAGGAGCCGTCGCACTTTGCCAGCTTTGACAAGCCAGAGGACTGGATGAATCTGAGCGTGGCGCTGTGCTGCATGCTCATGGCCGCTACGGCGTCGGGTCTGACGATGGGCGTCGTCTCACTCGACGAGCTCGAGCTCCGCGTCAAGGAGCGCAACGTCAACGAGTCCAAGACCGAGCGAGGGTGCGCGAGCGGTGCCACCTGTCGGGAGGCCGCTCCTCAAACAGCCGCGGACGCAGCCACCCTCCACGGACCAGCGAGGACGGGCGGTCTCGCTGGAGAGCGCCCCACCACCTCGCAGGTACGCGACGCGGATTCTGCCGCTGATCCGGCTGTCGCCTCGGCACCAGCTGCTGGTGTCGCTGCTGCTGCTGAACGCGATCGCAAACGAGGCGATGCCGCTCTTTCTGGACAAGCTGGTCCCTCCCTGGGCCGCCATCCTCATCTCCGTCACCGCGGTCCTCTTCGTTGGCGAGATCATCCCCGCCGCGGTCTTTACCGGCCCTGCCAAGATGAGGAGCGTCTACGCCCTTTTCCCTCCGCCCGCTGCGGGACGGCTGATTGCTCACTACTCACGCAGCTGCTGCTGAGGAGTAGGATCGCCGCTCTCCTCTCGCCCCTCGCCTGGTTCATCGTCATGCTCTCCTCCCCTATCTCGTACCCGCTCGGCTGGGCGCTGCGCCGGCCGCTGCCGACGAGGCCGGCCCGGAACCTTCCCCGACACTTCCCGGCGCCCGGAACCTTCCCATAGGCGCTGGACCGGCTGCTGCCGCACGCCGAAGGCTTGCCCACGCGGCACGAGGTGAAGGCGCTGGTGGACGTGCAGCGGGAGATGGCGGCGGAGCACAGCGCGAGCGCGGGAGAGGCGCGCCAGAGATGCCGAGTGATGCCGAGAGATGCCGAGAGGAGCCGAGAGGAGCCGAGAGATGCCGAGTGATGCCGAGAGGTGCCGAGAGGAGCCGAGAGGAGCCGAGTGATGCCGAGAGATGCCGAGAGGAGCCGAGAGGAGCCGAGAGATGCCGAGAGAGCAGCGGAGCACAAGCGGAGCACAGCGGGTGCGAAGGAGGAGAACAACAGGAGGTGAGCAGGGCGTGGACGAGGCGGAGGGTCGGAGTCGGCCAGCTCACTAGTTTGCCGTGAGCACACACACGCACACCGCTCACCCACGCGCACTGGGCCTTGCACTATGAATGCCGTGGGGCTCCTGTCGTCAGACGTGGAGACGCGAGGGTTGCCTGGCCCTTGCCCCGCCACCTCGTGTGTGTGGAGAAGTTTACCTTACCTTACCTGGCCGTGAGCAGGCCTTCCACGAGGACGAGGCGGACCTGGTGCGGGGCGCGCTCTCGCTCTCGCAGAAGCTCGTTGTCGATGTGATGGTGCGGAGAGGCAGCCGAGAGGCAGCCGAGATGTTGCCGAGGGGCAGCCGGGAGGCAGCCGAGAGGCAGTCGAGGGGCAGCCGAGAGGCAGCCGAGGTGCAGCCGAGGGGCAGCCGAGAGGCAGCCGGTTTGTTGCGGGTGTGGTGATCTCAAGGGTGGAGGACTGGAGCAACCCGAGCATCGCACGGCCAGTGCCGCTGGAGACTTTTCGCGCTGCCCGCCGACGCG